GGCCGGGGGATGTCGTGGGGGGGTGGTGGCCAGGTGGTTCCAAGGGAGAGAGCCAGGAGGGGGGTATCGGTCGGTGGCTGCTTGAAAGGAGAACCTCACGATGAATGGCTCTAGCACACACTCTCCCTCACACGCCTCTGGGGTCGGCGGATATTGCACCCGCCTTCGCCCACTGCCCGGTCAAAGCTAGGCTGAGGGTCGGGGCTGGACGGGGTAAGACAAGTCGCGCTCTCAGCCGAGGTGCCAGAGTTGACTGATCTATTGTGCTTATTGTGTTTGTTGTTTTCCTGTCCTGGCCAGTGGCGGGCCCTTCCCCGCCCTTCTTCCGTCGCCTCCCGCTTCGCCTTCGCCCTGCCGCCGCTGGCTGCTTCCGCCCCATTGCCCCGCCGCTGGCGGAAACCGCCGTGGGCGCGGTGGCGCTGCAGGACCGCCCTGCCTGTCGCCGCCCCTGCGCGCCTGGGGGGGGATTTTCTGAGGCAGCGGTTTGGGTCGGGTCGGCCAAACCATTACCTTCCTCTCGGTCGGTGTAACTCCTCCCGCTCTCCCCCCCCCCCTCCTCTTTCATTCCTTTTCCTCCTCCCCCGCGCCACCTCCGGCGCGATGGGCCATGGGGCCTCAGGGGGCAGCCTGGGGACCCCGAGGGCCTCCCGGGACAGTGGCCTCTGAGGACCTCCAGTGGCCTCCTGAGACCTCCAGGGCTCTCTTGGAGTGTCCTCAACCCTCTGGGGGCGTCCTCGGCGCGCTGGAACTTTCAGGGTCGTTCATGATACTCCAGTGGCCTCGGACTTGGCGAGGCATCCAGGGACTTCCCGGGGCGTCCCGGAGCCTCTTGGGCTTTCCCATAGTTTCCGGGGACGTCCCGAAGTCCCCTGGAGCTTCCTGGGGCCTCCTGGGGCCTCCTGGAGCTCCCCGGCGGCACTTTAAGAAACCACGCGCGGGGCCCCAAATGTGACGACAGTTTCAATGATGGGGGCCATCCCGTTGAGAGAGAGGGCGCAGCGAACGTTGAAAAAGTGGTGACGGTGTCGCACTCGAGACCCAAAACCATCTTGGGGTACCTGCTCCCTTTGCTCGTCATCTTGGTCCTCCTCCTCGTTTTCCTCCTCCTCGTCGCTCTCCTGGAGTGTCCTCAACCCTCTGGGGGCGCCCTGGCGTCCTCAGCGTTCTGGAGCTTTTTGGGTCGTTCAGGATACTCCACTGGCCTCCTGGGGTCTCATGGGGCCTCGTGGGACTCGGCGGGGCATCCTGGAGCGTCCTGGAGCCTCCTGGGCTGTCCCATAGCTTCCGGGGACGTCCTGAAGTCTCCTGGAGCTTTTCGGGCCCCCCCGAGGCCTCCTGGAGCTTCCCGGCGGCTCTCTGAGAACCCACGCGCGGGGCCTCAAAAGAAACGACAGTTTCAAGGTCGGGGGCCATCCCGTTGAGAGAGAGGGCGCAGTGAACGCAGCGAGCGTTGAAAAAGTGGCGACAGTGTCGCACTTGAGGCCCCGAACCGTCTTTGGGCACCTGGCCTCTTTGCTCATCATCCTGGTCCTCCTCCTCGTCATCCTCCTTCGCGTCCTCCTCCTCCTCCTCCTCCTCCTCCTCACATCCTCCTCCTCCTCCTCCTCCTCCACGTCCTCTTCCTTTTCCGCCATCCCTTCCCTACTTCGAGCGTGATGGGCTATGTGACCTCATGGGGCCTCGTGGAAAACCCGGGGGCGTCCTGGGACAACAACCTTTGGGGGTTTCTTGGATTGTCTGGATCTTTCAGGATACGCCCAGAGCGTCATGGGACCTCGTGGGGCATCCTCGGACCTCCTGGAGCGTCCCAGACGCTCCTGGGGATCCCCAAGGCCTCCTGGAGCGTCCCGAAGTCTCCGGGTGTTTCCTGGGGCCTCCTGCGGCCTTCTGGAGTTTCCTGCCGGCTCTCTGAGAAACCACGCGGGGGGCTTCAAAATTGAGGACAGTTTCAAGCATGGGAGCCTTCCCGTTGAGAAAGGGGGCGCGGTGGATGTTGAATAAGGACGAGAGTGTCGCATTCGAGGCCCAAAACCGACTTTGCGGTCCCCCCGCCAGAATCCCAGCCCTGCATAGGTCGGCGCGATTTGCCCCCTCCCCGCTGTCCCGCCGGTCCCTGGGAGGATTCGTTTTCGGGTTTTCACGGGTCAGGAAATTTGTCCCCCCTTCTCGGCGATGACGGAGGGGAGGAGGCGGGTTGGCAGGATGGCGGGGTGGCTGGTTGGGCTGGGTGGCAGGGTGACTGGTTGGGCTGGTTGGGCTGGTTGGGCTGGGTGGGGCGGGTTGGTTGGGCCGGCTGGTTGGGCGGGCTAGGGGAATTGGTTTCGACCATTCAGACCCGAACCCTTACACGTGGGACCCAACCCTGATGCCCTAACCCTGAGACTGCAACCTGATGCCCGAACCCTACCACCCTAAACCTATTGCCCTGGCCCGGAGACCCTGACCCGAAGTCCCTAGCCCGAATGCCCCAACCCGAAGACCCCAACCTTAAGACCATGACCCGGACGCCCTAAGCACCCCTTTTTAATGCCCGAACCCTAAGACCGTAACCCTAAGACCTAACCTTAAGACTTGACTGACCTTAAGCCTAACGCCATACACCTAGCACCCCAACCTTCAGACCTGGCACCTGAGACCCCAACCCTGGCGCCGTGACCCGAACGCCCTACACCGAAGACCCTAACCCTAAAATCCGAATCCTAAGACCCCAACCCGAATACCTAATCCCTGCCGCCCTAACTCTGCGACTCTAACCCTTTGACCGTAACCCGAATGCTCTAACCGTAGGGCCCTGGGCCTAAGATTTCAAACCTCAGACTCTAACCCTGAGACCCTAACTCTAAACCATCACCCCGATACCCTAACCTTATCCAAACCCTAATGCCCTGGTCCTACTACCCTATAGTGCCCTACCCGTCAGACCCGACCCCTTGCACCTGGGACCCAGCCCTCATGCCCTAACCCTAAGACCGTAACCCTATTGCCCAAAACCTGATGCCCGAACTTTACGACCCTAAACCTATTGCCTTGGCCCGGAGACCCTGACCCGAAGTCCCTAGCCCGAATGCCCCAACCCGAAGACCCAAACCCTCAGACCATGACCCGGACGCCCTAAACACCACCTTCTACCCGAGGTCCTAGCCGCAATGCCCTAACCTTACGACCGTAACCCTAAGACCCTAACCCGAAGACCCTAACCCACCTACCCCAAATCTAAGACCCGACACCGAAGAGGCTAATCCTACGACCCTAAACCTGACGCCTCTATCCGAAGACCCTTCCCTTATGACCCTAAACCGAATGCCCCGAACCTAAGACCCAAACCTTTCTACCCTTACCCCGGACGCCCTAAGCCCAATACCACAGATCCAAGTCCCTAACCTCAATGCTCTAGAGTTAATACCATATCCGTGAGACCCTAACCCTAATGACCTAAATCTAAGACCCAAGCCCTAAAACCTTCACCTTTGGACCCTTACCCGGATGCCCGAGCCGTAAGACGCTAGCCCGAATGCCCTGACCCTACGATCCTACACTATTGCCTTACTCCAAGACCCTGAACTTGATGCCTTCTCCCCGATGGTAAATGGCTGGACCCAAAGATCCGAACCCTGATGTCCCAGATTACAGACCCTGTCTCAAATGCCATCACCTAAGACACGATCCCTGAGACCCCACCCCCAAGACCGCAACCCTCATACCCGATTAGTAAGACCCGAAACCTGAGACCCTAGCTTTGATACCCTAGCACTGAAGACTTAACCCGCGACCTTTGAACCTAATGCCCCGACCTCGATGCCCTTAACCGAAGACCTTAACCCTAAGACCCGACGCCTAAGACCCGAACCTCGGACCCTGACCGGAGCACCCGGACCCGAATGCCCAAACACGAACCCTAATCCAAATGCCCGAACCCTAAGTCGGGCCAGAGACCTCAGGCCCTCGCCCTAGAACCCAAACCCGTCTGCCATAACTCTCATACCCTAACCTTACTACCCAAGCCCTACGACCCTACCCCTAAGACCCTACCCTTAAGACCTGAAACGTCAGACACTATCCCTAAGACCCTACCTCGAAGCAGTGCCCGAATCTGAAGACCCCAAGGCTGAAGCCTTGACCCGAAGACCCCAACTCTGAGATCCAACCCCGAAGACCCAATCCCTAATACCCGATCCCTACTTGTCATACTCAAAGAACTTACCCCTAACGCGCTACCCCGAATACCCTAACCCTACGACTCAAACCTTAGGACCCGAACTATCACGCCCGATCCCTACGACCCGACGCCTCAGACCCTAATCCGAATGCCCTAACCCTAAGACCCGAATGTCCTACTCTCAAGACCCGAAGCTTAACCCTGAGACCTTGCTTCTGACACCCTAACGCCCTCACCCCCTCACCCCTGCCTTAGCTCTGCCCTTAGGTCCCTCAGACCCTAGCCCGAACACCCTAACCCTGAGACCATAATCCGAAAACCCTGACCCTCATGCCCTAACCCCAAGACCCGAACCTGTAATACCCGAACCTAAGACCCAAACCTTAATGCCCGCACCCTGAGAGCCTGAGCCAAGGACCCTAACGCTAACACCGTAGCCCTAAGACCCTGACCCGAGCAACCGAATCCTAGGACCTAAGGCCCTAAACTTTACACCCTAAGCGCGAGTGGCCTCCCAGATTCCCCAGGTCGTGTCATTCGCAGGCAGAAGAGGAGGGCTTTGTACATTGGAGGAGAAGGTGGTGGATGATCGTGAGCATGAACAGCAGCAGGAGTACATGAGGAGCAGCGGGGGCTTCGCGGCGCCCTGCAGGCAGGCAGTGCCAAAGGGGGTCACCACTCGGGGAAGGGTCCGAAGGCCCGCGGAGGCCCGCGCGGATTCCTCGGATCGGCGCTGGGCCCCCTCCTTGGCGCGCGCCAAGGGCGGCGCCGGAGGCGCCATCAGAGGTCTCCATCGAAGATCCGAGGAACCCGCGCGGGCCTCGGGAAGTTTGTGTTTATGCAGCCATTTCTTTCTCCATTCGGGCGCTGCGATCTCGGCAGCCTCTTCACGGAGAGAAGGCTGGCACCGGCCTCATCCCTCTTTCCTCTGTGGGAGCCGACGACCTCCATCTGCGAGTTGAGGAAAGAGACTTGGCAGAGTGCTGGCCCTCCGTCATGCCGTCGCAGTACCAGCAGATCAAGGGGGAGCGGTACGAGCGGGACCCGTTCCTCGTGCTGTTCTTGCTGCTGCTGCTGCTGTTCCTCCGTATCATCCTCCTACGTTGCCTCCTCTTCATCCTGGTCCTCATCCCTTCGGCATCCTGCGTCGCATGCTCCACCTCCTGTTGCGCGCATGTTTGTATCCCTCTTCCTGTCATCTTGATCGCCTCCTGTTCCTGCTCTCCCCCCATCCCCCCCAGAAAATCTATCACCAGGCCCTTCTGGGGCGCGTTCAAACCAGAATTCCGGGCGGATCCAGCCGTGGCGCCGAGTACGTCCGCGGAGTTTCGAAGAGTTCCAAAGATTCCCAAAAGCATCCATGCTCGATCTTCCATCCTACGTAGATCCTAGTCCTCCTCGTCCTCCTCCTCTTCTTCGTCCGTAGCCATTTTGGCTCAAGCCATTTTGGCTCAAGTAAAACATTTCTCGAGGTTGGTCCAGGTCGACCACATTGGGTTCCCTCCGTTCAGTTGCCCTGCCCAGGGTGGAGGAAGGATTCACGCGAGCAATTTGCCATCAGAACCAGAAGAACTTCACCCGTCTCTCTCGCCATGGCGGACGCTGCCGCGCTACAGGCGCTCACGGCGGCCGTTCACAACCAGTCAGCGCAGTTGTCATCTGAGTTGTCCACCCATGAGCGCCGCGATTGACACCTACCAGAATCGTGTTGCAGCATTGGAGACATCTATAGGTGTCTTGAGCGAGGCACAAACCAAGACCTACGAGGACATGCGGTCCATGATCACGGGCATCAGTACTTCATGGGAGGCTCGCTTCCATGGTCTCGAGCAGCGCTTAGAGGAAAATCGCACCCAACAAAAATGTTCCGACGAAGAGATGGAGGACCCTGAGAAATTTAGCAGGGTTCAGGCCATGATTGGTGGGAAGGTCGCGTCGCTCCAGTTGCAGCTCAACTCCCTCTCTCGTCCAGCGTCTACTATCTCCACAGCATCTTCAGCAGCCTCGAGAGTAAAGATGAGGCGCACAGAGGCTGGTCCCCCTCCGCCCAAAGCGCGTGATGATGAGATCGACCCTTGTCGAATATGGGTTGGGGGCTTCCCGCGTGCTATCCTAGAGAGTCATCGTCGCAACCACTTCGAGGCGGTCAAGCAGAAGATCGCGGAGACCGAGCCGACCCTCGGCACGGAGCTATCCGCGAAGTTTCATAAAGTATCTATGTCGTACAGCATCCATTGCGAGAACGACCAGCACGCAAAGAACCTGCGAGCGTGGGCCAGTGAGCACCTGCCTGGGTGGTTCGATCCTCGCACAAAGAGAATGATACCTCTCCGCGTTCGGCCTGATATGCCACTTCAAGCACGGCTTCGGCAGCGCACGCTGTCTCGTCTATGGCCCCACGTCCTCAGCAAGCTCCAGATCATAGGGAAGTGGGCGCCCGACTCCCACAAACTCGGGGTCAACGGAGCTCGCGGCGAGTTCTGCATAATCGACAACAGCATGGACGACCACTGGGTGCTCTTCCACACTATCGAGGAGAGTGACACCCAGTACAGCATCCAGCCGAACATCGACAACCTCCAAGAGTGGGGGATCAGCATCGACGATGCCAATGAGCTCATCCAGGTCGCGACGGACACCTCCAGCGACGGCTTCATCTAGGAGCCAGCCTTGCCACCGTCTAGTTTTGTAGAGATTTTCACTGATCTTCCCGACTTGGGGATCGGGCCCATTGTGGCTCAGCCGGGAGTTGATCTTAATTCCAGTCAGCAGCACAGCAGTTCTTCTTCTTCCTCGGCGTCCTCATCCTCTGACTCTGAAGATAGTAGTTGTAACGGGTCCCCCACCAGTCCCCCTCCCTCTCTGGGCCCTATGGATCCTCTGGCCTCGAGATCACTACTTGGAATTCGCAAGGGCTCTTTGGGTCTACTCATGGTCATCATGAAACTACTGCTGGGAAACACTCTCGTCTCCACTCGCTATGTGCATGTCCTGGCATTGTTGGGGCCCCAGAAACTCATGGGCGCGAAGGGGAGCTCGTCGCCATCAAAAATGAGTTACCTCATCATGGGATCTACGGCTCGTTCGACCACCACTCGCACATTCGGGCGGGAATGTTCCTGATCATCCATCCTGTCGTCCTGGCCAAACTCCGGGACACCCGACCCTTCGAGGTCGCTCCTGGTCGCTGCCACGGGATTCGTGCTCAGGCGGAGTCTGGGGAAGTTTGATTCATCAATATCCACGTAGATCCCAAGTTGAGCAGAGCTGAGAAACGTCAGCTCTTACTGAGGATCCGCCAGGCGACGCCCCCACCTGCGCAGGCTCAGACGTTTCTGCTGGGCGAGTTCAACTTCTCGGCCCCAGGCGAGGGCATTCAGTATGTGAGTGGCGAGATCCACCAGATGGCCATCGACGGCCTCGCGCGCTTCTTTGAAATTCAGTTCCCCGACATGCTTGAGGTAGAGCAGCTCCCCCCCCCCCCCCCCCCCCCCCCCCCCGCAGGCTCACTACCGAAAACGATGGCATGCGGACCGTCAAAGCGTTCACCCGCATCGACAGAACCTTCACAAACTCATGCGCAGCCGACATGTGTGACTATCATCCACAAACAGGCGCAGTCTGGGATGTATGTGATCTCCGGGCCCCCAGTGATCACTGCCCTGTACTCCTCTCCCTGAGGCTCTCTGGGCCCTCTTCTGATCCTACAGTTCCCTCTTGGATCTCTAAGCATCGTTGGTATCCTGCTGCCCTTCAACATATTATCGCAGATGCCGATTTCTCCGAGGCCCCCCCCCCCCCCCCAGAGTACAAGACATTAAAGAATGTTTGTATCTTGCAGCCACGCGCATTCGTTAGCAGACCAAGCACCTTCCCCCTGAGACTTCCGCTCAGCATTTGTCATGGCTGTTTACCAGCAATCGCGCAATGCACTCCAGGCGCGAGCACGTGATCAAGCCAGCCTTTTAAGATATTGCCGAAGCTCGCCTCGTTCATAGATAGGGGCACCTGCACGTGGATCGATAGGCATGGGTTTCATCAACACATGGGGGAGGTAGCGAGAGGCGGGCTCGAGGAAGAGAGGAAGGAGCTGATGCAGGAATTCGTCCCCGAACGTTTTCGAGATGCACGGCTGGCCAAGATTCAAAGATTCGTTCAAAGCTGGGCCCTCGGAATCGCAAGATGGCCCTCGCAGGAATCCGCGCACCTGACGGGTCGCATTTCCCTTCGCTTGAAGTAGGTGCTGATGCGCTTCGCCACCATTGGGCCGAAGTACACAGCGCTGATGAAGCCTCTCACGAGGTCGCCGCCGAGCTTGCCCCGTTCATCCAGCCCGTCCACCCTGCAGTCGAATGGCAGCTTTCACGCGAACGTTTCCACCGCATGGTCAGCCGCTTTCGGGATTGTGTTCCCGGCCCAGATGGGCTTTGTTACTCTGCCTGGAAATATGGAGGTGCATTTGTTACTGACGCTTTATACGATCTCTACTGCTACTCCCAGACAGGCGCCCCGCTCGCTGAGGACTTCAACAAAGGTTTGATGGCATTTATCCCGAAATGCTCCCACCAAGAAGATGTGAACAGCTTCTGGCGTGCCCCCGATGATGTGCGTCCGATAACATTGAGTAACGCGGATGCGAAGATCCTAGGCTCGGCCCTGAACAAGGCCTTCTCCGACCAGTACGAATTAGGCGCCAGTGAGGCCCAGAACGGCTTCGTCCGCACCCGTCAGATGTCTGGCGACATTTTGAAGCTCGAGTGCAACATGCTGCGATATGGCATCTTGCAGCGTGTCAAGAGCGCCGGCTCCGTCCTCCTGGACGCGAAGGCGGCCTTCCCGAGTTTACTGCACTTCTGGATCGAGTTCGCGCTGACTAGCATGGGGGTTCCAGGCTTTTTCTTTAATTCGGCCGAAGCTCACTATAGCAAAATCTCCGTGGACATGCTCCTGGGAGGCCGTCGGTTTCCTGGATTCGAGACCGGCCGTGGGGTTCGACAGGGGTGCCCGATGTCTGGAAGTATATTCGTCCTTTGTCTCGATCCAGTGTTGCGCCAGATTCAGAGCAGACTGCCGAGCCCACAGCACTCACTGAGCGCGCTCGCCGACGACGTGGCCTTCTTCCCGCAGGACTTGCACAGCGCCCTGTCAGTGCTGATGCGCATCATGGTGCGAGCATCACTTGTCGCAGGTCTCGTGCTGAACCTTGCTGAATGCGTCATTGTCTCCTATAGGCAGGAGGTCGACCGTGAGGAGGAGCTGGCGAGATTCCAAGACCAGGGAATTCGCGTTCGTAAGTTTCTATTCAGAATTGGGGCAAGTATTTAGGCATTCACCTAGGCCACAGAAGTATCGCGCGCTCCTGGACTAGTCCCATCGCCAAGTATCTCGAGCGTTGCCGTTTCATCTGCTCTCTCGCTGGAGGCCTCCATCACGCTATCATGTCTTGCAATTTCATCGCCATCCCTGTTCTCCTGTTCGTCGCCTCTTTCTCTGCCCCCCCAAAAGAAGCTACTGGCGCCGAGAGGGGCGGCTTCCAGATCTTGACAGCATGTCCGAGATATGCTATCCCGAATGTGGCCCTGCTCCGCTTTAAGAATATCTTCAGCAAGAGCTGGAGCGCTCGCTCCTTGTGGCACGAAGGGCGAGCTGCGCTCTACAGGAATGCTGCAAGGTCTCCGATCTTTTGGGGTTGTAGACTGGAGTTGGAGGAGGTACTGGAGTGGGGTGACCTGATCTTGGGATGGAGGGTCAACAAGTTTTATCAACACCCCCCCCTGAAGCAGATGATCGATGTGTACAATTATGTTTGGACACTCCCTCGGAATATCCAGAATCGCCCCTGGGAGGATGGTGTTCTCGAGTGTCCGAAGCTCCAGAGAGAGCTAACAAAAACTTTCCATGAACTGTTCCCGTTTGAATCCCTGCAGGAGAAGATGGGTGCCCGCCCCAGGTATTGGAACGTGCACATCACGCCCGACCAGATATCTCTGGCTATTCTTCGTCTGTGCATGCTGGGTCACAAATATCCCTGTTATATTGGTCTAAGTATCCTCAGGTGTATGTGCGATGCTATGAATACCTCTCGTCGTTATCGTCAAGCATGCAAAAGATGTCGTTTCGGATGTAGTGGTGCTGATGATATTCTACATTACTTGTCGTGCCCTCGTGTAGTTCTTGTAGTGAAGCGTCTCCTTCCCTCTCTTCCCGACTGGTGGGGTAATTGTGACCCTAGGGCGTGCTTTGATATGGACTCTAGAGAGTATACGTGCACTGACGAATTTCATGCCACTGCTGTCGCTGCTGACCTAGTGCTCACTAGTTTCAATAATTTACGCGCTCGTGAGTTTTTCTCACCCTCGGGGAGTAAAGTTCTTGGAGGGACGACTGCGCCTGTCAGCGACGAGGTGTGCTGGAGTGAGGGCTCTGACACACTGATGAGGGGTGCCTGGCGGGTGGCCTGGATGACGGACGATCTCGGCGCGCCTCAGGGAGCGCGTCTCTCCTCCTTTTCTTCGTCCTCCTCATCCTCGTCCCCGTGCTTCTCCAGGATACCATTTCTTTATTGCTTGGGGCATGACGGGCGTCATGGCCCCCGCTCCCCCCCCCCCTATGACGCAACGCTCCCCCCCAGTGCGCTCCGGGCTCTGCCGCCGTGCACGCTGGGATCCGCGTTGGCGTCCGCGTAAAAATCCGCATAGGAGTCTGGTCCGCAGTCGTCGTCGTCGTCGTCGTCGTCGTCGTCGTCGTCGTCGTCGTCGTCGTCTTCGTCGTCGTCGTCGTCATCACTCGTGGCTCGTCGCACATCGTCGTCGTGCGCACGGACGCGGCTCGAGCCTGTTATTAGTTCCGGGCCGATCGCGGCAATCATCTGCGGGGGTGTGGAGGGGGTCGATGACATGATGTTTCGCGCCGGCGGCGTCTGGGAATGCCTAAGAATGACGGAGGACAGGTAGCACCAGCATGTAGGTGGCGATCTGCACAAAGACGCCTGTGTACACCACAGTGCCTGCGTGCACCACAGCGCCTGTGTACACCACACCGCCTATGTACACCACGGCAGCCGCGTGCAACACAGCGTCAGATTGTGCCACCGTGCTCGTGGGCACAACAGCTGTTGTGTACACCGCAGCGCCTGCGTACACCACATCATTGCAACACAGCACCAGTGTACACCATAATGCCTGCGTGCATTGCAGTGCCTGTGTGCACCACGGTGCCCGTGTGCACCACAGCATCCGTGTGCAACACAGCACCACACTTGCATATCGAATGTTAGAAGGAATCCGTGACAAACTGGAACGCTTGTGGATTCCACAAAGAACGAAACAAATGAATCCTTATGGACAAAGGAGCGCCGCTGGAATCTACGAGTTCCCCCGAGTCCGCCCGCATCACCCTAACTTCTCCCATCTGCGTCCAGGAGGCTCCAGCGAAATTGGCCGTGCGAGAACCAAGTGGACCGATTCAATAGACCATCATGCGGTGCACTGCGCGCTGAATTGCGCACGTGCGCTGCAGCGCCGCCCCGCAGGACAGGCGGTGAGGAGGAGGAGAAGGAGGAGGAGGAGGAGGAGGAAGAGGAACAAAAGGAGGAAGAGGAGGAGGTGGAGGTGGAGGTGGAGGGAAGAGGGAAGAACGTCGCATTCGATTATCAGCACTGTCGTGCACGCAGGTACTGGTGTACAGTCGCGTTGCGTTGCACGCGGATGCTGTGGTGTAGACAGGCGTTGTGGCGTGCACAGGCGCTGCGGTGCACGCAAGCATTTTGGTTTACACAGGCGCTCTATTGCACATGGTGGCTGCAATGTGCACATTACCGGCGCTGTAGTGTACGCAAGCACTGTGGTGTACACAGGCGCTGCGTTGCACACGGTTTTTGCGGTGTACGCAGGTGTTGTGGTGTTCGCGCGCGTTGTGGTGCACGCGAGCGATGTGTACAAAGGCGCAGTGGGGCATATAAATATATATACATATATGTATGTATGTATATATATATATATATGTATCGCCACCTACAGTTTGCCCGCGTCGTCCTCGTCGTCGTCGTCGTCGTCGTCGTCGTCGTTCGTCGTTCGTCGCTCGTCGCTCGTCGCGTCGTGCGCGCGGGCGCGGCGCGGCTGTGGTGCCGAAACCACACGGCGGGGGGGGGGCGTTACGTTATACCCCCCACCCACCCCGCCCCCCCCCCCCCCCCATGACGCCCGTCATCGCCTAGCATAAAGAAACGCTCTCCTGTTCCCTCCATCCTGGACCCTCATCCTGCTCCTCCAGCGTGTGCATCACAAGGAACTGCTGGATATCGCGAGGCAGAAGGCCCGGGATGGCCGAGGCTTCCTCCGCGAGCTTGGGCAGGACGTCGCGGAGAGGCACCAGGGGAGAGGCGAACACAGTTCAGCCCAGCCGGGAGGCAAGCTGCAGTCAAAACGATGGGAGGGTAAGTGCGATCGAATCGGTACGGAAGGAAACACCAAAACCGACAGTGTTTCTTGTTCATTTTCACAGGGTTCGTTGTCGGCGTAGTCGCGGGCGTTGTCCATTTTAGACGGAAGGTCGCCTGCTTAACAGCGGCCGTTGTTGGTTTGGACATCATTTGTTGTTGGGCATCGTGATAATGTTTTCCGTACCCATTTCGGGCGTCCCAAGATGGAGTAAGGACCAGTTTGATGTCCGACGGGGTTCGTGTGTCCTCAGGCCTTGTTTCTTGTGTTTCTCGGGGTGCTGCTGGCAAATCCAGGTACAAGTGGGGCCACAACTTGCGTGCCCTCGTTTCGAGAAATGTGATGTGGTCGCAATATGTGTAGGTCGAGGCCCTAGACAGGAGGGACCTGACCTGCTGGCCAGTGCTAAATGTGAGTGTGCACGAAGCCTCCCTCCCGTCCCCCCCCTCCCTCCCTCCAGCCTCCCTCCCACCAGGTCCATGCTTGCCTTCCGTTTCTCCCCCTCTCTCCCATCTTTCCCCTCGTTGCTTTCCCTCCCATCCCCCTCCGCCCCGTCTCCACCTCCCATCCCCCGTCCTGCCTCCCCTTCCCCTCCTTCCTGGGGCGAGCGACCGTTGGACGGATCGTTCAGCACAGCGCCAGACGAATGACGGGGCGGGCGAGGTTAAGCTCGCCCGCTCGCCCGCGCCCAGGCGACGCAAGGACCGAAGGAGGCGGGCTGGGCCTCCTTGGCATTCTTCTTGCGCGCAGCACAGATTCGACAACCTCCCCTGCGCGCTCCGAGCTGCACAGACCTGTGCCTGAAAGGAACTTCACGGGGCGGGGCTGGGACGAGGATAATTCCGTCCCAGAGCGTTGCGGCACGCTCTCAGAGCGCTCCGGAACGCTCTGAGAGGGCCGCGGCGCCGGAGACAGCCTCCTAGCGATGCTCGATTTACTCAAGAGGCTTACGCCATGTCGCCGGTCCCCAGAAGAGGCGGAGAGTCCACGGTTGAGGTGTCGTGGGCTTCTTGGGCAGCATGTGGGGACTTTTGCAGGCGTGTTGGGAGCTGTTCGGGGGCCTGAGGGAGCTTCTCGGAAGCAGGCTTGAATCGTCTTGGGGGCAGTTTTGGGGCCTATTCTAAGCCTTTCAGGGGCCTCTTGGGGCTTACTGTGGGCCTCTGTTGGGCCGCTTGGGGGCGTGTTGGGGCCTTTGGGGGCCTCTTGGGACGGAAAGACCACGCGATTTTGTCCTCGTCCTGGCTTCGTCTTACCTGGGGCTCCAGCGACTCCCTGGCGAAACTCCCCGATGCGTGGGGCCCCCGCGCCCTCCCCGGCGCCCTGCCCTTGGGACTCCCAGGCTTGGCGGCGGCCTGTCGGGCCTGCTGGTCACGTACTCGGGACGTTCTGGAGGTTGCGCCGTATGTGAAGGTGCGTGGTGCAGGTTTCGGCTACACGTAAGAGTCGGAGGTGGATAGACCTCCTACCCTGACACATCGATTAAGGAATTGGCCGTTTTCGGTTCGCGAGAGGGCGTCGCGGCCGTCATTTTTGCGGGTCCAGGTCCGTCGGTTTCGGTCCCAGACCGTTTTCATTAAGAGGAGGTTTACTAAAGGGAGGTTTGTCTTCCGCCGAAAGAGTGACCCTTCGTCGGGCGACGAAATCTAAATGTATCCGCTGCTCCCTGACCAGGGGCTGCGTATACGCCCTCCTGGCCAATCCAGGAGGGCACGGCGTATACACCACTCTCCTGGCCAAGCCAGGACTACACGTAAGTCGAAGGGAAAAACGACACACACATAAACGTTCGACGGTCCGCTCGGATGTCCAGGATCTGCGCCGGGCTCCCCTGGCGGCGCCCTCCGCGCCCCATGGAGGAGGGTTCAGCTCACATCCAAGAAGTCCGAGCGGACCGCTAACAGTTTAATATCTGCTGTTTTTTGTTCTTCGATAAGAGAGACCCTTCGACGGAGTGACCGTTGGTGCTGGCCCACTGGGGTCCCCCGATCGCCGAACGCGATGCGGTGGTAGCGTCCTGCGCGCTTGTGCTTCGCTCCCTGGCGCACCCCAAACATCCGCGCACAAAAGGCCGCTCTTACCAAGTCACTCTTGCGTAGTGTAGGTTGCGTCCTGCGTGAGATACACCCACGGTGGCCCTGGCGCTTGCCAGAAGCTACTGCGCGTTGATAAATGGGACGGCCCCAGGTGCTGCCAGAAGCCGCTTCGCACAGCAGTCCGTGGGGAAGGGGCCACCGCGATGCCACCAATCGAGGAGCGAGACCCTCAAGCGACGCAGCTCCGTCGCGTAGCCCCGCGCACGACCCCTGCCCCACGCCCGCGGACCCAGTCGCGCGGCGATGGGCCGTTTTTTTGTCCGCTGCTGCTTCGCATGACGGCTTCTTCTCTTTGAAGCGGGCAGCGTGGGGGTGATCAGAGGCGGAGGAGGGGACCCCCTGCAGGGCGCAGGCGAGGCAGGCGGTAGGGGGGCTGGGATCCGGGCGGCGCGAGCGCGCATTATCATCCAAACGATCCTGACAAGGGGAGTGGATGCGTGCGCGCGACCTCTGGCAAATCCCAGCCTCCTTCCCTTCCCCCCGCGCCCCAACCCTCTGTACAGCCCCCTCCCTCCTGACCCCACCTGCAATAACACAATGTGAATACTACTCTCCTCTCTCCCCTGATGACGTCGAGAAGATGTTCGGCCCCCCTCCCGGGATTGGTTTTCGCTGGTTTTTTCAAAAGTCTGTTCCTGCTGAACCACTGGCCTCATTTTAGGGCTTCCGCTAGTTCCGAATCGTGCTTCCGCTGCAGCGTTGGCCTCAGTCTGCGCTTCCGCTCGTTTCGAATCGTGCTCACGCTGCAGCGTTGGCGTCATGATTTCCAGTGCCATGCCACACAGCATGCAATGCAATGCTACGTGGTGTTCCGCTGTGCAATGCCATGCCTCAAAATATTTAGAACATGTCCCCCCCGACAACGATCGGAAGTGATTGCACTTTCGGTGCTGAATGGTTAATCCTTTGGGGTCGCGGAAGGCCCTCCCCCACTTCGAGGCGTCGTCGTTTTCTGGAAGTATCAAGCGGGAGCCCCGTTCCTGTTTTGAGAAGGCGATGTTGGAAGCAGAGTCAGCGGGTGCTCTTCATCAGCCCCACCTTGTGTGGAGCGTTTCGGGGAGCCCGAGGAGCTAGACATGGAGCCACAACTCCAGACTTGCCCAGACCTCTCTAAGACGATCCACACCCTCCAAGGAACCCAGCGCCATGCCATGGCATGATGTGCTGTGTTGTGTTCGGGGCCGCTGTGCGATGTCATTCTTTGCTTTGCAACGCTTTGTCAAGCAATTCTTCACTTCGCAACCCCCTCCGTGTTATGGCATGATACGCTCGGCCGTGCGCTTCCACGCCCTGCTACGCCGTGCTCTACGATGCATGGCGCACCCTCTCGCGATCATTGCCTTGCTTGACATCCGAGTGTGCGAATTGAGAGGAGATCTACACCATGGACAGAAATGAGAGGGAGGGGTAGGACGTCCGATATGACGCGAGCGCACCCAGCTTGCCCCCTCCCCTCCCCCCTCCTCCCCGCCTTTTGATGATGTGGACGAGCTCCGTGCCCCGACTGCGTGGCCCAGCCCACTCGTGCTGCCTCCGCTTGCGTCTCACCAACGTCTCGTCTCTCTCTCTCTCTCTCTCTCGGGCCCAACCCCGGCAGGTCCACCCAGCCTCCAGGTTCCCTCCCGCTTTCTCCCGGGCGGGGCTAGGACGAGGATAGATCCGTTTCAAAGCGTCCCAGAACGCTCTCGGAAGGTTCCGGAGCGCTCTGAGAAGGCCGCGGCACCCGATACGTCTTCCAGAGCTGCCAGATCTCAGAGATTCTCGATGGATCCTCATCCGAATTTGTCCTCGTCCTGGCTTCGTTTTCTTCCTTTCCCCTCGCCCGCCACGAGCTCCAGCATTTGAAGTCTGGGTGCCCTTGGCGCACGATGTCACCCCTGCGGGAGGCGCGAGAGCCACCGCGCCCTTCGCGCGCTCTCGCAGTGCGGGCCTGGGGAGCGGCACTTCCCTAGGAGGGCGCGGCGCGAGGGCGAGCACGAGAGGCAGCGTCACCCGCGGGGTCGCGCAGATCACCCGCGCGTTTCGCGTCGTGGTCTGGGCCACAGCAGCTGCGCAACGGTGATTCAGAGGATGAAGAGGTAAGTACCCATACCGCTACCCTTCGCTCGTTTTCACCTTCTTGGGCCTGGGAAGCCCTCGTCGCCACCGCTGGATTCGCCCCGAAATTTTGGCCAGAACGCACCCCAGGAGAGGTCCGGGGAGCGGTATCAGAACCTTTTGGTTTCCCCATCATCGTGTGGCGCGGTGAACGAATTCGGGTGTCCTGGAGAGCAGGCGACACATGACCCCAGAAAGTACCCCCATCGCCGAGGCTGGGTGAGGCGGCCATGCGTGGCAGATCGAGTGAGACAAAATTGCATAAACGTAAACATTCGACTGTCCGCGCGGAGTTTTTGGATCTGATCTGGAGCGCCCTGGCGCGCTCCGCGCGCCGGGGAGGGGGGGCCAGAGCGGTCCGTCGAAAGGTAAGTTTGTGTCGTTGTCGTCGTTTTGTTCCTCCAAACCCCCCCTCGCCGAGGCTGTGGGAGGCGGCCATGGACGGCAGAGGCGTCACGGCCACCGAGCGGAAGACGCTCGAGTTTATCATGGAGGGCGGCGACGGGCAGTTCACGGTAAGCGCGGCTGGCAAGGCGTATTTGAGGCGGGTCGTCTCTCCTCCTCCTCCTCCTCCTCGTCCTTTTCGTTGTTGTTCGTCTTTCATTATTTTCCTTATGCAAAAACCCCTCCCTGTCGCACCCCGAGGCCAGTTTTTAGGGCGGGCTGAGCGTTTAGCTTGAGAGGTCCTCACCACCCATGATTCTGACGCTTGAAAAGTAGCAACCGTTTCGCAGATGGAGGGCTGGGGGTTTGCAAAATGTGGCTCTCGCCTTAGCGCGGCGCACACTCGTCTTAAACATGTGCAAAAGCTTCACGGATTGAGGGCGGGTGGTTATCAAAATGTGGTTCTCGCCTTAGCGCGGCGCACATTCGTTTGTTTTTTTTATTTGCAAGAGTCACTGATCGAGGGCGGGTGGTGTTCAAAGTGTGGCCCTCGCTTTAGCGCGGCACACATTCGTTGTTTATATATATATATGTATAAATCAACGCATTGAGGGCGGGTCGTATTCAACATGTGGTTCTCGCCTTAGCGCCGCGCACGTGTGTTTTAAACATTTGCAAGAGCTTCACGGATTGAGGGCGGCTCATTTTCAAAATGTGGTTCTCGCCCAAGCGCTTCGCACATTCGTTTACAACGTTCGCAACAGTTTCACGGATTCCCACCATCAACGTATTAGAAATGGTGTTGCCAAAGGATTCAGGATGACGTTGGCGCAACAGTTACGCTGATTCGCTGTATTGGAGTCCCAAGAACGGCGTTTTGGCACGAGTCAGGATCGTCAACACGCAACCGTCATGTTGATCCGTGGCGTTGGGATCCCGAAACAATGTCCTTGAATGCTTCAGGGTCTTCAAGTGGTTGTTTTCCAACAAGGCAGTCCCCCGAATGGAAACGAACCGTTGTAGGGGCCTGTGAAGTAGGAGCTTGGAGGGGGGGGTTATCTCAACATCGTTGATGACTCTTGGGTTTGCACTGGTCCTCCCTCGTCCTTCTCCTCGCCCTCCTCGTCCTTCTCATCGTCCTCCTCGTCCTCTTCGATTCGTCCATATCCTCCTCCTCTTCTTCCTTCTCTTCCTTCTTCTCCTCCTCCCCCCCCTCAAAGGAAAGGGGGGAGGAAAGCAAGGACTATTCGAAGAAGGAGAAACGGCATGAACATAATTGTCGACGGTCCGCACAGATTTCTTGGATCCGCGCCGTGCCCCCTAGCGGCGTTTCCGGCGCCACCATTGGCGTGCTCCACGCGCCAGGGAGGGGGGGGACAGCGCAGATCCCAAAAATCCGCGCACACCGTCGAAAGTTTACGTTTGTATAACGTTTTTCTTTTGAGGCATCACCAACGCCAACGTCGACAGCAGCCACGGTGACGAGGCCCACCTAGTCATCTTGTGTACCACCAGAGCCAATGATTATGGCCAGTGGGGTTTCGTGGACGACCCCCACAGGATGAACGTCGGCTTCACCCGTGCGCAGGAAGGACCTGTGGTGGCCATGAGCTCGCTAATGCACAACACCGCCACGGTTTCAAAGATGCACATGCTGGCAGACTGGGCAGCAATCGACGGCCTATGGTTCCTCGACAACCCCAGCAACGGGGCAGACGCTCCAAGAGACCCCAGGCTTTACTGCCGTGCGACTACAACGGCGCCCAGTCGGAGGAGCCTCCTCCCCAGAGGAGGCGGCACACGGATCGAGGCAGAGCGGGCCAGATGGGCCCAAGAAAAGAGGTTGTTACAAAGGTGCAAGAGCAGCCCGCCCTGGGGTTCGAGACCTTATGCAACAGCGTGTTCCCAGCCAACTTCAGTTGGCAGTGGCTGGCAATGGACTTCTAACCTACCCAGCGCTGGCCCCAGTCCTCTACTACGTGCGCAGCCTCCACCCCACCTGTACGGCCCAAGAGATATTCCTGCCGACTTCTACAAGCACTGCCGAAAGCTGGTCAGCCACGATATCTTCCTCTACGATATAGAGCTAGGCCTGGTCCCGACAAACTACGTATACGCAGGATCCTTGGCGTTCGCAGTTCCGCAGCCAAGCAGCAATCGGGACAGCCGCATCCCCGAAGACAGACTCCCCCCAGCGACGACGCGGCGCAACGGGCGCAGCCGTTGGAACCAGAGGGTGATATCCTGCGTGCCGCCTGGGACACCTAGACAACCGCCAGCGGCCTGCTGGAGCAACACCACGTGTGAGGAGCGCGACCGACACCAAGGCCGACCCGCATTCGAACACCTACACGCCCTGGTGCAGCCCCCTGACGGACACCCCCCCAGTCTTCGTGACGCACAGAGGCCTGGACAATGCGTCGCCCAGCACAACGTGGGCCAACTGGCGTGGTGACCCTCATGCTGGTGCTTTTCAAGGAACCCAGGCCCCGCATCGGCTACGTAGAAGCAGCTCTGGGCTTATGTGACCCATTCAATGAGGCGCGAATACCGGTTGGAGACAGCTTCGGCCTGGCGCGCGGGATCACACAGGGCAGGACGTTCGGAGGTCCCACGGGCACGGCGGCGACGACGAACATCGCGGCGACGGCGGCGACGGGGCCCGGGTCCGCGGGCGAACTTGCGCCCCGCCCCTTCTGGAAGTCCCGGGTCAGATTTTTTTTGAGGGGGGCGAAATTTTTGCGCGCGATGTACCCCAGCCGTTCGTTCGCTCTACTAAAGCTCTCTTTCCATTCTAGTGGGGCGCTTATTCTTAGGGGGGAAAGCATCGAGCAGCGCGCCTGTACTAATGCCCCTCGCTTCAGTAAAGCCGTTCCTTCGATTCACTAAAATCGCTTCCTCGCTTTAGCAAAGCTGTTTCCTCGCTTTAGCAAAATCGGCGGTCTGCCTTGATAGAGCTCTGGGGATGCGGCGGCGATGCGGGGCTAGGGCCCGGTCGGGGGGCGGGGGGCAATTTTTTTGTGTTTTTGCCGGTTTACCCCGCGACGCACTTGCTCGACTGATCAGGGTCGCGTTGCATCGAGTCGCGGCGACCTCTGGACATGTGTCCAGCGAGTTGTCGATGCTCATCGATAGAAGATTAGGGCGCTGGCGCAGGGCGCGGACCGGCAATTCGGACGCGCCGCCGCGGCTGTCGCACAACATGGCAAAACAAACACTTTACTAAAAGGCTTGTTTCCTGTAGCAAATAACCCCTTCAATGTAATAGTTTGAATTTACCGCTTCCAAAATGATCTGCAGGGTATTTAAATTGAATATGCGCCTTGCGCGCATACCTGCGCGCGCGACATTGCGCGCCGGTGGAAACACCTGCGTCATTGTACTTCAGCAGTGCGCTTGCATCAGGATTTTCCTTTCTTTTTTCCTCTTGCTCCCGTGGTGGCGGGGAGTCGTCGAGGTGTGCCGACGCGTTTTTGGGGTGCGCACCGTCGGCCCGCTAAGACGGGTAGACTTCCCCAAGTACCCCGCGCTGCGTGGTTGGTTCCTTTCTTACTCTCGTAGCCGAGGGGGGGCCCGTTTGAGGGTCGCAGGTGATGGATGGAGTGTTTTGAGTGGTCTTGACACCTCTATTACCGAGTCCCCCATCTGCTTTCCGAAGGCCCGAGGCCGGTGCGTGCTTGTGTGAAGACCGCTCATATCACTTGTCTATCCATCTATATTGCTATCTTCTCGGCTCACGTATCGGAAACCTTGCGCGCCCCCGCGGGCGCTTGTACAACAATAGTTTTCCTGTCCCTATGGTCCTCTACCTGCGGACCCCACGGTAGGTTCGACTCATTGGTCGTCAACCTCTGCCCACGCGTTGCGTCGCGTTGATCAGTGCACGTTTGGCCATGTAACCAAAAAACCAACATCACTCCTGGCTGCGCGGGTTCCGATGGCTGGGGATATGTTGGCAGAGGAGAGCATGCCAACATCATAGAGCCCACGTCCAGGCCCTGGAAGGCAATTGAACATTCCGATGTGTCGCTGGTTTCCGTTGGTGCAAAGACGTACCTTTCATAGTTGTGCCGTATTCTGACTGTTCGCGGTTGTTCAACTGCAGTGTGCTGGTGACCCAAGGCCGCCACTCTTGGTGTTGGAGTAGGCCCATTACCCTTTTTTTTTCCTTCGGACCCGCATCATGTTTTGCAGCGGACCAGACACTATCATCGGGCATCCTTGTCCCAGTCTCCCGATTCGGCCCGCTGCACCATAACTCTAACAGTACTTTTTGGTGAAGGATTGACTGCGCCCGTTTTTGTTCTGAGGTTGGTCGCTTTGTGTGCGCGGCACGCGAATGCGCAGTGCTCAGATGAAGGTCGATTCTTCGACTTTTGGGTCAGGAAACTGAGAAATGATCCGAGCAGCTTCTGCGGTGCTTCTTGTGTTCTGGCGTTGATTGCGTTTTCCCTGGACTCGGGCTTTAACCAAATATGTGGGGGGGTGGGGATTGAGCTCTGGCGTGGGGAGGATCTTTTCGTTTCACCCATGAGGTGTGCCGGTGCCGCGATCGCCGCCTCTCTCTTCCACTCCGCTGCCGTTCTCCCTTCTTGTCTGCACCGGTGGCACAGTGATTCGGACCGTTATTGTGGCCGACCGACCGAGCAGGAGGAAGAGGTGTAGGAGGCGAAGGAAGAGGCGAGGAAGGGGCCGGTCACGGCCGCGGCTGCCCCGCCTTGCCCTTTTGTGCCCGGTGCTGCCCGTTGCGTCATGGTGCTCCGCCGTTCGCCCATCCTCCCCGTGCACTGCTCTAGGCCTCCCAGATGGTGTCGGAGTACATGGTGGTTGAAGGGTCGCGCCGCATCGCCGATGCATCGCCTATGCATTGCCGACGCGGCTCGATGTGGAACCCGATCTTCTCCGATGCGTCGCCGATGCATCACCGAATCACCGATGCGCCGCCGCTGCATCGCCGATGCGTCGTCGATGCGCGGCGATGCCGCGATATCCCCCGACGCTACTCCGACCCCATAATTACGGGAGGCTTCGAGCTGCTCCCCCTCCCTCCGCAGGGGAGGGCGCCGTAATTCACGAGTGTTCTGACACTTGAAGCTCGCTGAAGGATAGCGAGTGCGATCCGTGTGTTTGGGGCGGCAGTAGGACCTCGCAGGGTTAGAACAAACAGTCATAACTTTTCGCGACTGGGAGTCGTACGGATTGTTGTTGACGGATCCAACTCGCTGGCCGAGCACATTTTGATCTGGCCGTGGGAACAACGCTACCTAACAAATCAGGGGAGGGCGCCGCAACAGACCAGTGGTCGTTTTCATAAGCAGCTGAAACCAATGTGCACAGGTCGGGGTACAAACAATCGCACAACCATGAAAACTCGGAGGTCCGCGCGGATTCCTTGGATCGGCGCTGGGGCCCCCTGGCGGTGCTTCCGGAGCCGCCCCTGGTGCGATCTGCGCGTCAAGGGGGGAGGGGTCCAGCGCCGATCCGAGAAGGTAGTTTTAATGTTTGTTTCAGTGCTCGTTTCCCGAAGTAAACATACAAAAACAACGTGCGTCCCAAGTTTCACCCGTGTTTAGTCGAGCACGCGTTGGATCACCCCGCAGGTACAAGTTTCCTGTTGGGTAGCTCCGATCGAGGTGGCTTCCGATCGAGGAAGCTTCCGAGGGGGGGACAGGTTACATCAAACGCCCCCCCCTTTGTTAGTTTCGTGTGGTCGTCGGGGCTTTAAGACGCCCTGTGCAAATTCGGAGCTCTGTCATTGGAGGCCCCCAGGGACCTGGGAGAATGTCGGCCGGCATTGAACGATCCTTTCCTCCAGAGGGTCTGGGCCCTTCCGACGGAGGTGCCAGTGCCGTTTCTAGCGAATTCCCCACAAGCGGGGGGGGGTCCACCGCCTACTGAAGGAACTTGCGCAAACCTCCCGTCCCTCATTGGCCCCGACTCCGCTCCCGCCCGCCGCCGTTGTTGTCGTCGCCATTCTCGGCCGTCGCCGTCATTGCCGTCGCCGTCGCCGCGACCAGAGCTGCCGCCGCCGGTGATGCTTCTCGCCATGTAGTAAAGGAGGCCTGAGGGAAACTTCCCCAGACCCAGGGCCTTTCCAGCTCGCCTCTCCGTCCCGAGCCACTTCGAGGACGGCCACTTGGCCCCATTGCAGGGCACCCCCCAGGGGTCCTCAAGCAGCCAAGCACGTTAAGGATCTCTTCCCTCCGAGACCCGCTTCCTTCGTGCCAAGCTGCCGCGGGAGATGCTCGGAGGCTGCCAGAAGTGTCTTTTGCCTAAGGTGCCCCAGGTGCCGTTCTGGAGCCCCTGCCCTCTGGGCCTCCTGGATCGGCGCACTGGGAGTCCTGGGGAAACCCTGGGCCAGGGACACCTCTGGAAACACCCGTTCCCGGCCTGCCAGGAGGAGGAGGAGGAGGAGGAGGACCAGTGTAAACCCAAGAGTCATCAACGATGTTGGAATGAACCCTCCCTCCACGCTCCCTCTTCGCAGTCCCCTACAACGGTTCATTTCCATTGAGGGAACTGCCCCGTTGGAATACAGCCGTTTGAAGATCCTGAAGCGTACCAAAACATTGCTCTCGGAACGCCACGTATCAACCTGACTGCTGCGTCTTGACGATCCGGAATCGTGCCAGAACGCCGTTGTTGGGAGTTCAACACCGCGAACCAACATAAGTGTTGCGCCCGCATAGTCTTGGATTCTTCCAAAACCTCATGTTTGGTATTTTGATAATGGGAATCCGTGAAACTTTTTTGTCAGTACAAGAACGAATGTGCGCGGCGCCAAGGCGCGAGCCACATCTTGAAAAGGAACCGCCCTCAATCCGTAAGGCTTTTGCAAATGTTTAAAACGAATGTGCGCGGCGCTTAGGCGAGAGTCACATTTCGTAAACGACCCGCTCTCCATCTGTGAAGCTCTTGCAATTGTTTAAACATATGTGCGCGGCGCTAAGGCGAGAGCCACATTTGGAGACCCACCCACCCTTAATCCGTGAAGCTCTTGCACGTTGATTAAACGAATGTGCGCGGCGCTAAGGCGAGAGCCACATTTGGAAAACCAGCCGCCCTCAATCCGTAAAGCCTTTTTGCAAATGTTTAGAACGAATGTGCGCGGCGCTAAGGCGAGAGCCACATTTCGAAGACGACCCGCCCTCAATTCGTGAAACCTTTGCAACTGTTTAACAACGAATGTGCACGGCGTTAGGGCGAATGCCACATTTTGAAATCGATCGCCCTCCAAATTTGTTGCCACTTTTAGCTTCAGAGTCATAAGTGGTAAGGCAGTCTCAGGCGAAACGCCCAGCCCGCCGAAAAAACTGGCCTCGGGGTGCGACAAGGAAAATTTGCTTAGAAGGAGAAGGAGTGGAGGAGGAGGAGGAGGAGGAGGAGGAGGAGGGTGGAGGAGAAACGAGCGCGGCAGAGGAGGAGGAGGAGGAGGACAAGTATAAACCCAAGACCCACCAACAATGTTACCATAAACCCGCCCTCCAAGTTCCCTCTTCATATGCTCCAGTGTGAGGAGATACTTTCGCTGCGGGAAGAGCCCCGTGGGAAGACAACCGTCTGGAAATCCTCAATCGCGCCAGGGCACCATTCCTGACATGGTTACGCTGCGAATCAACGCTATTGCTGCAAAAAGACGATCCTGAATCGCGTCAAAACACTGTTTCTGTGACGTCAGCACTGCGAATCAACTTGACTGCCGCACCCGGGCAATAACCGTGTCAAAACATCATTGGGATTTCAACCATAAGAATCCTTGAAATTGCAGTGATCTGTTAAGACGAATGCGCTGAGCGCTAAGACGAGAGTTACATTTTGAAAAGAAACCGCCTTCCATCCGTGGATGATCTGGTATGCTTAAGACGTCGGTGCGCGGCGCTAATGCGAGAGCCACATGATGAAAACGACCCGCCCTCAATTCGCGAAGCTGTTGCAAATTTCAAGCTTCAGGATCATACATCGTGAGGAATCTAAGGCGGAACGTCCGGCCCGCCCTACCGACGCGCCTCGGGGTGCGACAGGGGGGAGTTACTTATAAGGAAAAGGCGTCGGAGGAGGAGGAGGAGGAAGAAAAGGAGGAAGAAAAGGAGGAGGAGGAGGGTGGAGGAGGAACGAGGGAGGGGGAGGGAGGTAGGATTAGGGAGGTCGGAGGAGGGAGGGCGGAGGGACAGCCCCGCCCGCCCGCCGCGAGGCGGAAGCTGGACCAGGAGCCCCCCGTCGGCGGCGGAGGCCGGCCCGCCGCGGCCGAGCGGCAGCCTGCCGCCGAGCCGCCCGGCGGCCGCGGCATGGGCAGCGGGGGCTATTACAGGCGATCGCGGGGTTGGGTTCCGAGCGACAGTTGCTGTTCGTGCTGTTGCTTTCTCTCTCTGTGACTCGTTCTTCCTCGTCCCTCTTCCACCCTCCTCCACCCTCCTCCCCCCCCCCACCCTCCCCCTCGTTTGCCCCTGCAGGCCGCGCCGCGGGCGCAGGCTGGTAGTGTCAAGCCGCCGGAGCGGTGAAGAGCAGAAAGCGCATACGGTGGAGGAGAGCAGGGAGCTGCGCGCGGGCCGCCGCCCAGGGCATCGGGGGGCGCGAACCCAGGGAGGGAGGGAGAGAGAGGGAGCTAGAAACCGGAAGGACCGAGCGAAGCAGGGGCAGGAGAGGAGAGTCAGGCAAAGCAAAGAAGAGGAGGGGAGGATGGCGAAGGGAGGGAGGGAGGACGGAGGGAGAGAGGAAGGAAAGGGGCGGGGAGGAGGGAAACAGCCGAGGAGGGCAGACCCGAACGGACGCAAATGCGACACCCGACTGGGAGCAAGAGCGACAGCAGGACAGACACGACACGCGACACACCGACTATGCAATGACCAAGACGACGAAAGCCACCAGCGAAACGACGCAGGGACGACGAGAACGACACGGGCCGGCGTGGCGGCCCAATGGCGGCCCCGAGGGGCCGCCGACACCCGCCGACCAATGGGGACGACCAGGGGACCAGACAGGCCGCAGGGGCAAACGAGACACGCGAAGACAAGACGACGCCCGAGGACCAGAGGAAGCCGCCTGGGTCCGCACCCCCCAGCCCTGTCACTGCCAGGCTGTTCTTGAGCTGCGGTGCGCGAGGATTTTCGACCCACGGGAGAAGAGCCGGGGGCGGCCACGCGGCTGGGGGCGTGCCCCCCTCCCAGGATTGAGCGTCCCCCGAGCCCCCCTTCCTTCGACCCAGCCCGCACTTTGGCGCACAGAGTGCCGACCCTCATCATCAAATTTTACAGCACACCAGGGTCCCCCCCGTGCACGTGGCCGACTGTACACTGACGGAGCGCACTTGGGGGTCAGGGTTGGGCCCGAGAAGGCGCGTCGGGCTCTGCATGCCAGAGGGGCGGACACCGCCACCTGGAAGGGAGGGGGCGGCGCCGCGCCAGGCACGGGGGGCGCCCCCAAGCATAACGGGGGTCCGTGCAGCGTGTCCTAGTCTGCTCCAGCCGGCTGCGCGGGCATCGCGGGCGCCGGCATCGCGCAGCAACTCGCCCTGTGCCGGCGCCCCTCGGGGGGGCGGGATCCCCATCTGATCGACGTCCCTGGGGCCAGGCCCGTGTGCAGGTCGTAATGGATTGTCACCGTCGCCACCTGAGAGTCGGGGAGGGCGCGGGTTCCCTCCCAACTCCACTTGTCGCTTCCCCTTCCATTCCCATCCCCTTTTATGAGATCCCTCCCCATCGCCCTTCGCCGCTCTGACTCCCATCCCCTCTCCCCCAACCCATCCGCCTCCTATCTCTCTCTTGCTTTCTCTTTTTTTTCTTTTTGTTTTTTTTTTTTCTCTCTCTCTCTCTCTCTCCCTGCCTCCCTCCCCGCAGGCGGGTGCAAGGCATGAACTACGACCGCGCGCTCTTGGAGCCTCGCTTAATCAGACATGGGGGCGGTGAGAAGAAACATAATCAGACTGGTAATCCGAACAATAGACCGCAAACATATCGACATAATAAGAAGCATAACCTCAGCGATAATACCAAAAGCGCGCGCAGTGTCGGCCTTTATCGGGGAAGCCAAGCAGGGCGTTGCTCGCTTCACTCACCCAAACCTCCAGCGTCCTGGCGACACAACAGCAGGACTGGCGCTGTCCCTCACTCTCGTTTGAGCGTTTGCCCCAGGAAGCCCCAGGATAGGGCCCAGGGGGGCAGGAAACATGGGGCCGCGACGCAGAAACCATGGGAAAGATGGAATCGAGAGTTTTGAGGTCCCACGCTTTCTGTTCAACGTGTATGTTCGACGATCTTCGGGACGTTTGATAGGCCAGTGTGTGTTTTCCCGCTCACTTCCACCCATCGCGTGTGGTCTGTGTCTGCCCTCACTGCGCCGCCTGAGCCGCATTGAACATGTGCGGAGCCTTGCTTGTGAATCTCTATTCAAGAATGAGCGGGTCCCACCTGCTAAAAGCGAACGATTCGCGCCTCAGCCGAGTAGCCCCCACATCCCCAACGCATACTTCCCCGTACTCGCTCACCAGATGTATGGCCTTTGCCGTATCATCTCACATCGGCGCCACGTGTTGGTTGGTGTTCGCAGCGCCTTTGTGCCAAAGCGGGATTGCAGCGCCAGTTGTTGCCAAGTGGGACACGGTGGTCGCATCCACCCAATGTTGTAAGCGGTTGTTTTCGCCTGGCCCCCAGGATAGCGCCGACAGGATAGTCTCTAGAGACGGCTCCATCACCATGAGGGAAGCGCTCCAGCTGTGGGCCGATGCACACGACGGGCGCGGCGTCACGGACTGCGAGCGCCGCACGCTGGAGTACATTTGGGCGGCTCGGGGCACACAGACCCGGCTTCTATCCTCTCTCTGTCTCTCTCTCTCGCGCGCTTTCTTTACAATGACACAATCTGAATACTACTCTCCTCTCTCCCCTGTTGGCGTCCGGAAAATGTTCGGCCTCCTCTCCGCGCACGTGTTTTTACACAGGTTTCCCGTGAAACTGGTAATGCTTGCATGAGAATGTATGTGCCGTGGCCACTTTCTACTCAAGTAATCTTTGGCCGAGTTAGGATGCTCACAGAGACATTCACCTGCCTCGTTTCAGTCTGGATTTTTTGTCTTCTGTGGAATAGCTGGTTGCACCCGCCCCTGCAGCCGGCCCCTGCTTGCGGGTGCACTTGTCGGTGCGCCGAGAGTGGGGCCTGGTGGCAGTCCGTGCTCATCGGGATCCTCGGGTGTGCGGCGATCCTGGGGTGGCTGCCCAGGCTGGTGTGGAGGCCCAGTGTCACCGCCGAGAGGCACACGCGTGGACAGCTGACGTCGGGGCCGCCTAAGATCGCATATATATATATATATATATATATATATATATATATATATATGGAAAAGCACACGGAGAGGCCCCAGGTGGGACGGAGTTTTTGGGTGCTGTTCGACAGCGCCGCGGGCTTGTGGCACGAACGCTTGTGCCTGCATGTGTACGCCACACGCTTTATCGTGGCGACCCACGACGGAGACGTCTACGGCGAGGAGATCACAGATTACGAGGACTTGCTGGTCTCGGGGCCACAGGGAGTAGTGCCCATGATGCTCTACCCGAGGCGGCGCTACCACTTCAACCCAGAGGACCTGGCCAAGGGCAGCGACCTTCGGGCAGAGGCCGACCGGGAGCTGGCGAGGCTGCTCGAGAGCGGCGAATACCCAGCGGCAGAGCCTGCGCCCATCGCCGACGCGCCCCCCACCGGGGCGATCGTGGCGGAGGGCGAGCTGCCGCAGGGCGAGGCCGTGGGAGGGCTGCCGACGCCTCGTGGGTTGCCGAAGGCCTTGGACATGGCGCCGCGTGGGAATACATGGTACTTGCTCACGGACGGGATCGGGCTGCGAATGCACGAGCAGGTGACGGTCGGCATGGTTACGAGTGCATCACTGACGGAGGATCTGGGCAGCTGCTAGTTCGAGATGGCGAGGCCGTGCATGTCTCCGCTGCTTTACCTCCACAGGGCGGTGGGGGCGACGACGTGCGCGCGCTGCCGGTGCAGTACAAACCCCGGGGCGAGAGGACACGCTCCTTTGAGAGCGCGCGCGGCTCCTTCTCGGAGGAGGTGTTCGATTACTTCCCAGTGCAGGGCCCGCGGGCGACGGGCTGGCTGATGGAGGCGTTCCACAAGGGCGGCCAGAATCCTGTGGCCCGACATCACTGGTGGCGCCAACTGTTGGGAGCGACGACCTCGGACCCCGGCATCAACGAGCGCCTTTTCTTGTCGGAGCTTTTCGAGCTCGGCGGGCAGTGCGACCAATTGAACCTGCTCAATTGCGCCGCCTTCGAGGCGGCGTCGCGTCGGTACCAACTGTGGGAGGAGCGCTACGAAGAGAAGCTGAAGACGGTGATCGAGGGATCTGGAGTTGCCGCGGGTATCTCTGCCGAGCGGAACATCTTCCTCGGGTCGTCTTCTGGCACCAGTGGTGCCCTTATCGTTCCGAGCTCGAAGCAGTGCGTCGCAGACAGGATGGAGCAGGAGAGCAAGGTTCTGAAGGAGCGCAGGAAGGGGCGCGAGGAGCGCAACCTCGCCGCTCAGGCGTCTGCGGGATCCGGAGGCGGCGGCGGTGCTGGCGGCGGCGCCGTCGGAGGCGGCGGCACAGATGAGCATGGCTCGAAGCTGACCAAGAAGCCGAAGAAGCCCAAGAAGGAGGGCGTCGACGGCTGACGTTCTCCCCTGTCCTAGGTATCTCCGCTCGGTCGCGCCGTGCGTGGCCCCCCATTGCGTGCGGGGCAATTTCTTTGAGGGGGGCCATCGGTTCGCCGTGGCTTTACAGTCGCGCCGCGATTCGTTCCCCCTTCCCTGCACCAGTCCGCCGCCTGGTCTGTGCTCCACGGGCCCTTCGTCGTGGTGGGTGCAGGAAGGGATTCGAGCGCTTAACTCGATCGGTGGTCGAGTTTGGCGGGGCAGCCCGCGACAGTTTTGCAGGCGCACGCCTTGTCTCGTCTCGCCACGATGTACTCTGAGATTCCCGAGCTGCCGAGTGACGCGACTGTCCAGAGCGCTGTCGAGAGTACCCTGGGAACCGGCCCCGGTTGCGGTGGGGGCCTGGCCAGCGGGGGCCACGCACTTTACCGGCGAGGTAAGGTTTCTTTGCCTCGCGTCGCCACCGGCGTGACACGTCCCGAGGGCGTGCTTCCCGCTGGACTTCTGTCTGGCTCCACTGCTGCCGACAACAGGTTTACTGGAATAGTCGCCTTCGACCCCCATCTCGCTAAGGGCAAGAAGGCGCATGGGCGATTTTTGAGCGACCTCCTGTCTCGCCAGATGCTGGAGGTCGGGGAGGCCGCGAAGTTGGTCACCCCCTTTTTTGAACGAAAGAAAGACGGTGCCCTGCGTCTCATCTTTGATACGCGTGAGGCCAATACTTCGTTCCCCCCTCTTGACACCTCTCTTGCTGCCGCTCAGGCGCTCAGCTTTATTGAGACCCCCTCGGGGGCCGAGCTGCGTTGTGCTCAGGGCGATGTCACTTGCTGCTTCTATCAGTTCTTGCTACCCGACAACTTGAGGAGTTGGTGTGGGCCTCCTCCGGTGCGTTGGTCCGATCTCCCCGCGCGGGTAAGACGCGTCTTGGGCCCGCCCGATCCCTCGGGGTTGGTCTGGTTCAGGCTCCGCGTTGTACCTATGGGCTGGTCGTGGGCAGTGTACTTTATCTAGTCTGCGATGAAGAACCTCCCGGCCCCCGCCGTGCCCAAGGACCCCCTTTTAGCCCAGCATAGACCCCGGGGCCCTCTCGCCCAGCAAGGCGCCGTCAGCGCCGCCCGCCGCCCAAGGAGTGGGTGACAGGCAAGCGGGGCCCCCCGCAGTCAGATGCGAAAAAGTTGCCCTCCAGGGGAGTCGGTCTGGAGAGCGAACAAGGTTGGCGGCTGGCGCGCGCATCTGAGGCTACGCAGAAGGTTCAGCCAGTCGTCTGCCGAGCACGGCGGCGATTCCTTCAAAGCCCTCATGGCTGCGCAGGCCCACGCGTGGACGCAGTGCCTCGAGGGCAGTTGCTTGCCTCTGGGCGACTGTCCGATTCCAGGCCTTTTCTCGTGCGCGTAGAGCGCGGTGTGGCCCCCAGTGCCCCCCTCGAGCGGCGTCGGATGGGACGCGTGGGGAGGCTGGCTCTTTTTGGGGGCATTCCGACGGCTAGGGAGGTGAAGTTTGCGCGCGTGCGCCGAAGCATGCGCCTGAGCTGCAAACCTCGGGCTCTCGCGTGGGACGTTCGTTCTGTGTATCCATCGCCTCTCGCACCTCTTGTCTCTCGGATGCGCAATGAACGCCACTCACCACCTCCTCTTCTCCTTCGCAGTCTCCTTGGGTCCCTCGTGCGATCGAGCCGCCAGGTTGCGCGGATTCGTGCTCGCGCGCGTCGAGCGCGGGGGGCGCTCGTAGACGTTTGCGCGGGGTGCTTGGGGGAGTATCCTTGTTTGGCCCTGGCGGCCGCTCGAAGCTGCGTTCGATTGCGGTGAGATGAAATGTGATGGGCGAGGCGCGGCGAGGCGAGGACAACATATATCGTCGTGCTGCATGTTGCGCAGCAGCGGGTCGCCTCGGTGGCCCTTGGGCGTTCCCGCCATTTCCTTTCCCCTCCTCCTCCTCGCTCCTGGCCCCCGCTCCCTTCTCTCTGCCCGTCCCTCCCGCTCCCCCCCTTGCTGCTAGTATTCTGGCCACCCTGCGATGCCGCCCCCCCCTCTTCCTCCCCCAAGCCATTCGTGATCAAGCTGCCCGTCGGGCTCAACTTCGGCAGAACACTTGGCCCTGGTAGCGGATGCGCGGTCGGGGCCGCTTTTAGGGTCTAGGTCATCTTGAAGCATCATCACACCACCACTCCTTCCTGGGACCAAGTTGGTGCCAGGGGCACCAGCGACCCCAACCCGCCCCCCTGGCAGCAAGGGCGCAACCGCCCGGACTCCGAAGACACTGGGGACGGGAAAGGGCGCGCAGCGAAGCCGCCCAGGTGGAGCCCAGTGCGACTGGAACCGCGCAGGGAACCCTGGAAGGGCACCAGCGCCGACCGCCGGGCGTTCGGAGGCCTCCAAGACCCCCTGGGCGGCGGCCCCGTGTACAAATGATCTCTGGCAGTCGCGGATCTAGACAAAACGGAAGACATCCAGGTCAAGACTGCGCGTTTGCAAAAGACGCTGGGGGGCGCCTTCAACGCTATATGGCACGCGTGGTCCAAACGCGCGGTGCTGAACAATGACGCCAAGGGGGGCTACAAGAACAACCCCCTACTCAACGCACCCGAGACATGCTCGGACTTCATGGGCGCCTGGAGGCGGGCTGGCTACGACGCGTATCGGATGAACAATGAGCAGAGGCTCGGAGTAGTTTGGGGCGCCATCCGCCGCGAGCACATGAAGTTCTCCGAGCCGTTCGGTGCACTTGCGCAGGCCCCCTGGGCAACGGGCAGTCGGGGCACGCCGGCCCCCTGGTCAGCAGAGACCCGCAGGGACGGTCGGTCAGTGGCACAGGCCCCTTGGGCAGTCAACAGTCCCTCAGGTCCCTCCGACCAATGGCATGGCTGGCAGGGCTGGTCAGCATGGGGCCAGGGCGACACCCCGTGGACAGACACCGAATGGAAAGGGGGAGGCGAGCGATTCCCCCAGCGCGACGACCACCGCGACTCCGAAAAGCGAGGCCGCTGGTGGACATAAGGCGACACCGCAGCGCCCGTGCGAAGGTCAGCCGCCATCGAGCAACAGGCTACGGCGGGAAGAGTTGCCAGCGAATCTGCAGGCCCCAGGACACCCCGCCGCCACGGGTGCTGGCCTCGGGCTCAACCCACCACCACCCGCAGTCTACGCTGGCCCGCCAGGGCCAGTTTCACCTCGCCGCGCCCGGCCTCCTGTCGGCCGTAATACCTCGGGGCCGCCCACCGCTGGGGCGGGGGCCGCCCCTCCCCCCCAGGCGCAGCATAGCTAGACAGCCTCAGCTGGTGAGATGCGCGTGGG